CACTTAATATATTATTTTTATAGAATCATGAAAAAGAGTTCATAACATGAATAATACTTTCTCAGGTCATCGTGGTCATTACGTTTTAATGATGCCTAAAGTAACCGAAATTAAACTCAATCTGCATTATAAGAACAGGCGCGGATCCAGGATTTTCCAATAGGGGGGGCCGGAAATTTGAAAATTGCGCAGACCGTTTTTTCAACTCAACGTACCAATGCTGACAAGGTCATATTAGAAGCACTATACCGGTACAAGTTTGACATTTTTATCGGGGGGGGGGCTATATAACCTTTTGCCCCAAAAAAGTAATTTTCTAGTTTCACAATTTGGCTAGTGAGCGAAGCGAGCGAGCAAAAATTTGAGCATAATATGTATTTTGTGAAAGTGTTATTTATCACCAAAGTAAACGAGAAAAAATATCAAAAATTCATCTTTGGGCAGCTCGCTATCCCCCCCCCCCCTATTACGGGCGAAGCGCAGAAGTTTTGATGTTTCATGAAATTATTAGAGAAAGAAGACGATTCGTTGTACCATTCTCGACTCTTAATTCTTGTTTGAATGCAGCTTTCCCCCTCCCGCGCGAAGCGCGGAAGCTTTGACATTTCATTAAATTATTAGAGAAAGAAGACGATTCGTTGTGTCATTCTCGACTCTTAATCCTTGTTTGAATGCAGTTTTTCCACTCCCGCGTGAAGCGTGGAAGCTTTGATGTGTTATTAAATTATTAGAGAAAGAAGACGATTCATTGTACAATTCTCGACTCTTAATCCTCGTTTGAATGCAGTTTTCCCCCTCCGCGCGAAGCGTGGAAGCTTCGATGTTTAATTGATTATTAGAGAAAGAAGACGATTTGTTGTACCGTTCTCGACTCTTTATCCTTGTCCGAATTGCAAGCTTTGACGTTTCATTAAATTATTAGAAAAAAAGAAGACGATTCATTGTACCATTCTCGACTCTCAGTCCTTGTCTGAATTCAGTTGCCACCCTCCCGAGTGAAGCGCGGAAGCTTTGACATTTCATTAAATTATTAGAGAAAGAAGACGATTCGTTGTGTCATTCTCGACTCTTAATCCTTGTTTGAATGCAGTTTTCCCACTCCCGCGTGAAGCGTGAAAGCTTTGATGTTTCATTAAATTATTAGAGAAAGAAGACGATTCATTGTACAATTCTCGACTCTTTATCCTTGTTTGAATGCAGTTTTCCCCCTCCGCGCGAAGCGTGGAAAATTCGATGTTTTATTGATTATTAGAGAAAGAAGTCGATTTGTTGTACCGTTCTCGACTCTTTATCCTTGTTTGAATTGCATCCCCCCGCGCGAAGCGCGGAAGCTTTGACGTTTCATTAAATTATTAGAAAAAAAGAAGACGATTCATTGTACCATTCTCGACTCTTAATCCTTGTTTGAATGCAGTTTTCCCCCTCCGCGCGAAGCGTGGAAAATTCGATGTTTTATTGATTATTAGAGAAAGAAGACGATTTGTTGTACCGTTCTCGACTCTTTATCCTTGTCTGAATTGCATCCCCCCGCGCGAAGCGCGGAAGCTTTGACGTTTCATTAAATTATTAGAAAAAAAGAAGACGATTCATTGTACCATTCTCGACTCTCAATCCTTGTCTGAATTCATTCGCCGCCCTCCCGAGTGAAGCGCGAAAGCTTTGACATTTCATGAAATTATTAGAGAAAGAAGATGATTCGTTGTACCGTTCTCGACTTGTCTGATCTTAAAAAAACGTTTCTTTGTCTGCTTCTTTTTCGTCCTATGTCCTCTTACTGCCCTTACCGCCCCTGGCTACGCGCCTGCTTTAAAGGGAAAATGAAACAATCATGATTGTGATAGCACACAATTAGGTTAGTAGAAATTAAATTACACCAACCATGGATAAACCACGACTGGGAGCGTCATAAATATCATAGTTTTGTGTCATCGGGCGAGGGTCGGGGCGTAGCGACCAAGCGAGATTTTGCAATGTTGAATGCTGAAATTATGGATTCTAGAAAATCCCTAAGCCCAATATGTACGTTCTTTCCGCTATATTTCTTTCTAGCGATATTTATAAATCTCCTGGGGATGTGTCCCCCTATCAGGCCCAGGATTACCGCCCCTGTCCATGATTACTACCAACATGAGTTCAAATACAAGCACAAGCGAGTTGGTATGAGCTGAATCCAAATGAAGGGCAAAATAAGAGTTGTGAAGCGGCCCTACCGTTCTCTAAATTTGACTGTTGAGTATAACGCTTCGATTTAAAAGACATATAAAATATTGTGCCCTTATCAAATTTCTCACTAAAGAATGATGACCTTTGAAGGGCTCTTTTTAACGTTTAACTTTGAATCCGCAGCTCGAGATTCTATGCGGCCGGCCCGGCCCCCTCTATTCAATAACGTTTGCCAAGGCCTTCTGGGATGACCCCAAATCTCCCGATTATAGTTTTCCCTTGTTCGTCGTTACTGTCACTTAGCACCATTTTCTTGTCTGTCCACCTTTCTCACCCGACTCCCCCCCCCCCTCCACCCACTCAGTAGTACGCGATTGTATGTCCCCTCTCTTTGAAAGCACCCCTCTATCTCCGGTGTGTAAAGTCAGTACTGGCCGGATTTGTGTGTATTACGGGCCGGACTTTGTTGGGTGAAAAGTAACCCTTTACCGGGGATTTCGGGAACACAAATTCGGTTCCTCCGACCCCGGAGGGGGAGGGGGGAGGGGGAGGGGGCTTTCTTCTTTTCTTTTCTCCTTTTTTCTTTCTCTCTCTCTCTCTCTGTTTCTTTTCTCTTCTTTCCTTTTCTTTTCTCTTCTCCTTTCTTTTCTCTTCTTCTTTTTTCTTCTCTTCTCCGTTTTTTCTTCTCTTTTCCTTTTTTCCCCTCTTTTTTTCTTCCTCTTTTTCCCTTTTTTTGCGCCGCCAATAGGGGGGGGGGGGGCGCGGCCGTTTCGCCCCCACCCCTCTGGATCCGCCACTGTAAGAACACATGTGAATTCATGACGCACATTTTGTACATGTGATGCAAAAAAATTGTACGAAATATACATGAATATCAAAATAAAGTATATGTTGTATATTCATAATGGTTCCGTTATTTTAGTTGAAAATGATTGATAACAATTAGTGACTGCTTTCTACATTGTATCATCTAAGAATATTTGTTTAATCAACCAGGGCCAGATCCAGGGTCGGACGTGGGAGGCGCACGCACCCTCTTTCCTTCCGAAAAAGTAAGGGTATAGAGATAGAGGGAGAGAGACTAAAACAGAAGAAAAAACAAAAACAAAGGGAGAGCCAAGATTCATAGTCGAACCGTAACCTGATTAGTGTTTGTCGACATGATGTTACTGGGTGTTGTTTCTTGTCTTTGATTGGTCAGTGGTGGCTGTTACGATTTACAAATCCCACCCTCTGTTCTCAAAGGGGAATGAATAGTGTTGTGGTCAAGGGGGAAGACATCTTTTCACTAAATATTTCAACAGTTCACCGTATTTTGCAGTGCAAATATTTCCCATGTGCCATGTCATATAAAAAGAAATGCCTTTTATTTTTGATTGCTGGAAAAAAATGGACTAAACACGTAATTCCCTAAGCAAATGGAATGGGAGCTCCCCCTTTCTCCGACGCATGCCCCCCCCCCCCCTTCGAAAATAGATGTTCAAACTTCGCCATTGCTGAACTTGTCATTTTTATTTATTTTTCGGTGAAATGCAGGAAAAAAGCTCAGAAATGTTCACATAAATTTTCATTTTAGGCATTCAGAATTGCCTCAGAATGTACCATAAAGAGCATCTTAAGGTAATTCCCAATTTTATACATTTCACCCCCCTCCCTTTGGAAAATCCTGGATCCGCCCCTTTCAAGTACGTGACATTGACGTCATTATTTTGATAGAATTCAATGGAATTTTCCATGTGGTATTCCCCAGCCATTGGCTCTTATATTCCTTACGAATATGGACTTTGTCTTGTAAAATAGGTTGCGATTCTCTTTATTGTCTACATGCATGATTAGCGTATTATAACTGTACCAAATATATGCGGTGTGATTCAGGGGCGGATCCAGCCGGCGGCAATAGGGGGGAGGGGTCCAGTTTTTGAGGAAAAAGTTTGCGCCGACTTAGCCGGCTGGTGAATGAGCGGGGGGGGGGGGGGAGGCTGGAGATGAGGACCACTTATTATACTTTTTTGGGGGGACCCTCTGTTTTGTTTCTAAAAAGGGTCTAAATTACGTTGCTATCCTATTTTTTAAAAACCGTTTTGGAGGGCTAGGGGGGGGGGGGGGGCGGGCCGGTAGAATCGGCCCGTGGATCCGCGCCTGGTGTGATTAAAACGTGACGCTCCTGTGTTTGGTTTTGAGTTGTTTAGTTTGTTTTTACTTAAATTGGCTTATTCTCATTTCATTTTATATTAAACGGACAAAAAATTTACATTGATAACGAATAGGATGGGAGGTAACTCATAGAGCTATAAATCATAAATGTTAGTACATCACATGGTATGTTGATTGAAAGTAATTACAAAGATCAGGATAAACAGAAACGATGAAATATTTCTTTAAAAAAACAACAATGGCTGCGATTACACCGCATGGTCCCTGGGTACAGAAAACAGGGTTGACTATTTCGCAACGAGGTAAGGGGGGTAGAGGAATATTGCTTCTCCATGTTGCAACTACTGTTCTAGTTTTGTTGTTGACAGCAGTGGTTGCGACAGAACACAGTACTTACTGCGCTTGCGTACATCTACTGAGCAGCCTACTTATCGGTCTTCAAGCCACTCATTTAAACTTTGTTGATTTCGATGATGATTTCAAGGTTTTCAACATAATGATATAAACCATATTATTTATATTTAGTTGCGTAAGGAGTCTGACATGTCAGACAGCATGATATACATGGAACACAAATAAAATTTGAAAATTCTCTTGATCACTGATGAAAAATAAAAGCATAGAGTCCTAAAAAAATAGACTACCCTCCCGCTTCGTCACTGCTAGCTGAGCTACAGATAAAGTCATCAGTGACAGACCACATCTTTTCATTCCAACTGTTGAACGGCGAGAAGAAAGGAATATGGAAGAGAAAGACGAATTACCTGGTCGCATAGTGCGAATCGACAGAGGTTTTGCGAATATTTCGGTATCAGGTCGGGCCGGGAATACTCGCCTCGATACGTCGGCTGCTCGCCGTAGCACGGGTACGTACATTGCCGATCTCCGTGATATTTTAGAAATCAATACTTGGCTTAAGGTTCGAGTTGTTCCAATGTCCGAGGAGGCCCTGTCAAAGATTCCTGAACGCTTTCGAAATGCGGCGAGGAGAAATTCTCAATGGGAAGTGAAGTTTGTCAGGAAAGACATTGAACCAGCGCCGCAATTAAGTCAGTTCAACGTTCCCGAGAGGTATTTTACAGACACCGGCAGCTTTAGTGGTGTGCCACGAGAGGCTGTCGGCCGGATCATCTCAGCACTTCTGCAGATCACAACCATGCTCAACAACTTACGACTTCAGAAGCTCCTGCCTCTCGTAAAATCACATTTCAAAGTCAAAGAAATCCCTGAAATCGGCCGTTATTTAGCGACAGAAGGGGATCTGGAAAGATTCATCCTGAATTGTCCTCAATATTTCACGATTTCATTAAGCGTTGTGAAGCGCTGTTGTGGGTTTAGCGAGGAAGTTTTCAATTCAGCCCTTACCAAGAAGGCCCTAGAGATACAACTTCCAATGAAGAGAAGACAGACTGCTGCTGCATCTGCTGCTGGTGACCCTGTTGATTTCAAAGGTAACTGATAATTTTTGTTTATTATGATTTTTTTTTTAAACGATAGGAATACTTTTCTTTAGACAAGGCCCCGTGCTTTATTTCTTAATCTATATTCATTTTATTATGCGCGTATATAATAGTGATTTATCTTTCATAATTTTGTATAAATTTATGTTTTCCCTCATATAGTTATAAGGACGGCATTTTTTCAGTGATGTAATTGGTTAATATATTTTACCTACTCAAAAAAAAAATGATCAAACCAATGAAAATTGAGACTTATACTTTTGTAAAGCTATTATTAAAGGATTGCTCATTTGACTCGACTTTTGACTTAAGCCGTCCATACCATCACTGGGATGTATGATGGCTTCTGTTTCACTATGGCTTGCCACACCTTCCTGTCTTCTGTTAGCCTAGTGGCTTTAGTCAGGGAGTCAACTTGTCTGTTTTTGCAGTCTGCCTTGATGCAGTCTGTCCATCTCTTTTACATGTTCACATTTCACAATTCGTAATAAAAACAGACTTCTTTACACTGTCACCCATAAAGTCTTATATTTTTTACCACTCGTCATGAAGTGATTGTGACAATAATCAAGGTCCGTATAAATTGTTCGGGCACACACAAAATACACACTATATTCAAATATTTAAGGGAGCAAACAACTCTCTCAGACGACAATAATTAACATAAAAATAACAATTACCACTGGATAAAATATCAACGGAGTCGTCTCAAGGGAGTATAAAACTAACCTCGAGGTTAATCTCGTCACGGTCAAAAATGCACAAATATAATAAATCGTTCAAAAACAACATTAATCAATCATAAAAAATCAAGCACAAAAAGGATCGTTAATATTTCAGCAAAGCGTTCAAGATGAATTAATCGAATCAAATGACGATGGCGACGATGATGAATTGAAAACGATAGATTAAAAGTACTATTCTCACTGCACGGTGTCGAATAACAAGCGATGTCAACCAGTGGCGGATCAAGGGGGGGGGGCCGGGGGGCCCGGCCCCCCCTCCCCTGGGAAAAAAAGAAGGAAAAAAGGAAGGGGAAAAAAAAGGACAAAAAAAAGGAAGAAAAAAAAAAAAAAAAAAAAAGAAGGAAAAAAAAAAGGAGGGAAAAAAAGGAGGAAAAAAGAGAGAGAGAGAAGGGAAAGAAGGGAAAGAGGAGAGAAAGGGAAAGAAAAAAGAGAAATAAGAAAGGTAGGGGAGATCAGTTGCGATTTTTCCGCCAACAAAGTGTAAATTGGGGGGGGGGGGGCACTGGCGTATTGATCGGGGAGGGGGCTCGGGGGAAAGAAAATTAAAACGTGGGTTATTTCTAATTCCATAACGGTGGTATACATAATAATGCCGAAATGAAATAATTTTCCTAGATTTTTCCTCATTCTTTAGTAAATTATACTTTTTTATACGTTTGTAAATTAACAGCCAGGCAAGAAATATGCTTCTTGAGAGGCCTATTATCAAGGCCCGTGGACCGGCGGGGATCGGGAGCCTCCAGCTCCCCCCCCCCCCAATTTTTTTTTGGAAAAGCATTTTGAAGAGAAATAGAAAGAAAGAGAGCAAGAAAGAAAAAATAGTTAACTAACAGTGTCAAAACAAAATAAGGTATCAAAAATTGCTCATCTGACCGTAATTAAACGCCTAAAACCCCTGAGCTTCCGGGGGCTCTGCCCCCGGGTCCCAACCTAGGGCTCTTGGGCAGGCCCCTTGATACTCATCTGACCGAAATTTAGTGCCTAGAACCCTTGATCTTCTGGGGGCTCCGCCCGCTGGACCCCACGCCAATCAGTGTCCTGCCAGTGTCACAAATAAAGTATAAAATATGATCATCTGACCGTAATCAAATTCCTAAACCCCTGAGCTTCCGGGGGCTCTGCCCCCTGGACCCCACTGGATGCTAATCTGACGGTAATGTAATGCCTAAAACCCCTGAGCTTCTTGGGGCTCCGCCCGCTGGACCTCACGCCAATCAGTGTCCTGCCAGTGTCACAAATAAGGTATAAAAATATGTTCATCTGGCCGTAATCAAATGCCTGAAACCCCCGAGATTCAGGGGGCGGAAAAGGTATCAAAAGATGTTCATCTGACCGCAGGCGCGTAGCCAGGGGGCAGTAGGGGCGCCCCCCCCCCCAAAAAAAAAAAACGCCGGCCAAAAAAAGAGAGGGGAGAAAAGGAAGAGGACGTATAAAGAAATAGGAGCAGACAAAAAAAAAAAAAATTGAAATTCAGATAATGATTTAATGAAACGTAAAAGCTTCCGCGCTTCGCGCGGTAGGGGGAAAACTGTATTTAGACAAGGATTAAGAGTCGAGAACGGTACAACGAATCGTCTTCTTTCTCTAATAATTTAATGAAACGTAATAATGTCCGCGCTTCGCGTGCGCGGATGGCAGGGGGGGGGGGAAACTGAATTCAGACGAGGATTAAGAGTCAAAAACGGTACAACAAATCGTCTTCTTTCTCTAATGATTAAATGAAACGTAAAAGCTTCCGAGCTTTGCGCGGGAGTGGGAAAACTGTATTTAGACAAGAAGGCGCGTACGCGGGGGGGGGGGGGGGGGGGTTCGGGGTTGAACCCCCCTTCAGTTTTTTTTATGTGTGTATCTTGGAGCAACCCCCCCCCCCCTTTGTGATTTTTTTTTTTTTAATTTAAAAAAAAAAAAAATTATGCCAATGGCTGACCTAAAAAAGGTGACCTCACCCCCCCAACGGAACAACATGTCAAATTTTCAAATTTCGAGACCAAAACCCCCCCAAAAAATTCCTCTTATCCCCCCCCCCCCCGCTTATTTAGCGGCTGGCTGAGTCGTTGTGATTTTTTTGGGGGGACCAAAAAAAAAAGGTGGCCCCCCCCCTAAGAAATCCTGGATCCGCGCCTGATGTCAACGATGTGAACAAGAGTCAGAAATAAATCTTGAACAAATGCAAGGCGTTTGGTAAGCAAGTCCACCGGTAATGGTCCGGGGACGTAGTCGTTTGATCCTCGTTGGATAAAAAATTGACCGGCACGGTTAACTAAACATGCAGTAGCAACCTGCATGTACCGATATAAAAATGCCCACTGATTTCCACATGGAAAATCAGAGCGAAGCCCCAACCACTACGTACTGCAGCGTGATTGGTTGAATTATAATTTGAAATACGCGTATACAGCAACATTCAATTTTAAATGAGGTTTTATTTAAGACTTGTCAACAAAGTCCAAAGACTAAAAATGCAAGTTTATATCAAACATACAATCATATAAAAAAGCATTCAAAAACATATATATATGTATATATAAAGAAAACATAGAAAATGGGAAACATGTATACAAATGAATAAATTTTTACATCAAAACAGTATAAAAACATGACAGTATGCGCGCTATACATAAAAATGAAAAGTCTACGTCATAATAGAATATAATTTTTGTTTTTTAAACAGATGCCGAGGGGTGATAGCAGGATGTAACGTCCCACAGAGCCTATAAAAACAAATATGCCTCGAATATTAACATCTTTTATATACCGAATTCACACAAAAACCCGCAAAGAATTCTTACTTTATCCAGGGAAATGTCCCTGCCTTATCCTTTTCTTGAGTAATGACTGGTTAAAACATCACAGAAAATCTGAGACACTGTCTGCAAATCTCTGCTGGAAACTTGCCTGAATGTTACAATAATTCGGGAATCGCACACAAACTGTACTGTATTTTTTATCCGCGCTGGCACAAATAAACTGTTTACACGTTAACCAAGGGGATCTCACCAAAATCTTTTAAAAGACTATTGACTGGTAGGTGGGCATGCGGGCATCTTTAAAAAAAACTATTGACCGGTAGGCGGGCATGGCTAAAATCACGACTACAATTTCGACCAATCAGATGGCTAGATTTCTAAAGAGAGGCATATAAAACAAGTTAGAACACGGTCTGCTAAGCCAGAAAGCGGATCGGAGTGAAGTACCACGCAAGGGAAATTAATTCTCCCTAGCCGCCATCTTGAAAATGGGATAACAATTCATATCAAACATGTACAAATCAATGCATAAACTCGTAAAACTTTATCTTACATGCAATAGTTAAAAATCGTGACATTTGGTTACTACAATACCATCATAGTATTATAATATTCTTATCAATGTACTCATTACTACTACAACTATACTACTACTCTTGGCATTAGTGTTCATACAAAACTTCTACTTTCATTCCTTGTAGATGTGCTCAGTCAAACCGAAATCATCGATTCTGTGGGGGCCTGTAATCGAGTTCTTGATCCGATCCTTGACCAGTCTAGAAGAGAGACTGTGGTCATTGGACTCGACTGTGAAGGTGTCAAATTAGGTAAGTGAATTAATGTAGGTCATGCATCAGTGATAGTTTGTATTAAATAGCAGTTTGACATGGAAGCAAGTTACACATGATGCGTCATTTTATTGACTGGCTTAAGCCCCTTTCACACCGGGCCATACGTATAGTTGCGTATAGTGTTGCGTACCAACAACGCCAAACGTACGCTGTCCTACGCTGGCCTACGTAACTTTACGCTGATTGACGAGTGGTACGCGAGATGGACGCAAAAAATTAAACATGATTAATTTTGTTCGCGTACTTTCGGCGTAGACACTAGACGCAAAGCGTACGCATTTTCTACGCAAGTCTACACAATACAACGCAACACTACGCTACTATACGCCATGCATACGTGATAGTAAGCTACCCTACGCCAATCCGACGTAGCAGTAAAAGCGTATAAATTAATCAAGGCGTCCTAGATCCTATTTGCGCACACAATAAGAAACCATGCGCAACTGTAATGTACGTACCCGTTACGCCAGGACTACGTAAACGTACGCAACCCTAATCCTGGTATACGCAATCGTATACGCCATAGGTACGCGTTGCCTATACACAGGGTATGTAAACATACGCAATCGTACGCCAGCCTACGCATATCCTACGCAGGTACTTAGCACCATTTTTTTCCTCATGAATACGCAGCCTAATTTAGGCGTACTTGGTACGCCACACTACGCAATTTTACGCAGATCCTATGGGAAAGGAGCTTTAGTCTTAATTTGACGGGCAAAAAGACACCGTAAAGAAGTGAATGCTAAATGATAGCCATCATTGCTTTGAACAGTACGTTTAAAGGGCAAACAACTTTAAACTTGCTAAAAGAAAGCAGAAAATCAAAGAAGCAGCTGACTGGTCAAAGTGTGGACGAAATCGGACCAAGAAAATAAGACAGTTATGAATTTTTGAAAATTATGATCACTTTACGTATCATGCGTATGGATCATTTGAATTGGCTGAATTAGCAATGTGACTGTAATATAGTCCCGGACAAATTTCCCATTTGTTCAAACACACAAAATGATCAAAGTACATTTTTTTCGTCAAAATGTATGATTCGGGAGGGTCTTTACTTTTCAGAGGTTCTATAAAAGTATAATAATGTACTATCCATAATATATTTTGAGTAGTGCCCCAAGGAAAAAGACACTCGGGAGAACATATTTTGTACACGACAAACGGGATAAGATTGTCTATTGACCTAGGTCCATGCTGTGATTACATCATATTCCACTAACAAAATTGCCAATTTGAGGTTCGTATAGCTATAGTGATGTCATATTTAAAACACTTATAACCCTCATATTATTAGTCAGAATTATTTTATTTTTTGCCATACTCTTTCTCCTATCAAATTCAAATTGTTCCATTCAATCATTTTAAATTTCTATAAAGATAAATTGTGTGCAGAAATAGTTGCAGAACAGTTAAAAAACAAAATTGTACAGACAATCTTCAAATGAGAAAAGGTGCGTACAGTACACTGTGATTAAGTTTTTGTAGAATTTAGCTTATTGAAAAGTTGTAATGATTGCCGTTTAAAGATCACCAACTCCAATTAATATGTGATAAAATGCGTCTCTGCGTAGTTGTGGTACGGGCAGTGGCGTACGCAGGATTTTTGCAAGGGGGGGGGGGGGGGTTATTTATTTTTTTAATCGCGCCGAAAATTTCGCAACGACTCAGCCAGCCGCTGAATAAGCGGGGGGGGGGGGGGGGGGTAAGGACAGCTTTTTTGGTCACCCATGACCACAAATTTTTAAAAAAAAATTTTTAATAAAGGGGGGGGGGGGGTTCCTTCAAGACACACCCCAAAAAAAGGTAAAGGGGGGTTCAACCCCCCTCCCCCCTGCGTACGCGCCTGGGTATGGGTATACCAAATACCTATACGTAAAGGGCCCGTATAGGGCATCTTACGGGTACCGTGCGGGATTCGGGTTGCCGCCGGGTAGGGACAATCATACGGGGCCCGGTTTATATGTGACCTAGGCAATAGCAAGGGTTGCTGTCTAATGTCTTAATCACACCAGACCAACACCAGGGGGGGAGGGGCATCAACTAAAAATTGATCTCGATTTAAACAAAAATAAATAAATAAAGGCCAAATCAATTTTAGGTTAAAAGTGATGCTTTTATTCGTTAAATCAATTCCAAGCTAAAATTGATTTTGATTAATTTTGAAATATATTTGTATGGCTTGTTGAAACATCCCCTGAAGTCCATATCTCGATAATTATGTTGTGTACAGGGACAGCGAACGGATGCCTGACTCTTGTTCAGATCTCAACGTGGGACGGAAAAGCATTCCTCTTTGATGCATTCAAGAACCCTCAGCTTCTCAAAGGAAACTCTAGTCTCAAGAAGATACTAGAACATAACAACATTCTGAAGGTAGACTTGTGTGATTATAAGATTAACAACTTGATTGTTACAATGGAATGATTTGAATTTAGAGAAAAATAGCTGCCCCACAGCATTGCCTAATTTTCAGAATGGCTGTCAGTCCAAAAGCAGTCTTAAAAACAAGACTATTTGCCTCAATGGTAAAACCTAATGTTTTGAATGTGTATTGATATATATATATATATATATAACTTCCCTCTTTCCTTTAGTATATTGCACATAAACTTAATATCCTCATACAATGCAAAGTCTGTAAAAGGTAGACAATCATGTTATGCATGGTTGAAACGGAAATCAAGGGTTATGTGACATCTAACATCAAGCAAAAATCTACCTGCTTTATAGAATAATATAAATAGTGCTAATGCTGTTTGCTAACTGTTTTTGTGATACTTAGCCTAAAATTTACTAAACCCTTATCATAATTGATGTTCCCTGCATAAAACTTAATTTATACTATTTATTTCAGGTGATCCATGATTGTAAAAGTGACACATACTCCCTGTATCATGGGTTTGGTGTAAAACTCAAGAACGTGTTTGATACGTCGGTAAGCTAACATCTTTGTTATCTCCAATTAAAACTAACTGCATTCATCCATGATGTAATAATGCATTTCATACATTCAGTCATTCAGACCGGGGGGGGGGGGGGGAGGGGTACTCACATATTAGGACATACGGGGGTGTGGCGCTCTAATGGGTGAATTTTTTCACAACAAATCCCTAAACATGGGTCCCACCAATAACAAAAATACCATTACAAATGGGTTCTTTTTTCAAAAGGGTCCGTTTTTGGGCAAACACCCGAAAGAACACCCGAAAATTGTGGAAAATGGGTCTTTTTTCGAGAAAAATTCCCCTTAATAATGGGTAGGGGTTTCGAGGTTTGAGCGGCACACCCCCGTCTAAACCAAATCTGAGTACCCCCCCCCCTCCCCCTGGGCATTCAGATGATACATTTTATTTTATTATTGATATGATCTAAATTTATGTAACGTGCCAAATCCAATTTGCAACTCATTGTTATCCAATTTTGGAACTTTAAAAAGTCAATGTGATGTGAAAGTAAAGCATTTCAAGAAGTGGTTAAAATGTATGTATTTGTTATATTTTCATCAAGATTGCGATGCGCACAATAATGGAGCAACTGAACAGGAATCGATCCTACCAAGTCGGTTTCAAAACTCTTTGTGAGCTTCTCGGAGAGGGCGCATCTCACAAAGACGATGCGTTTGTGAAGAAGATGCTTGAGACGCCAGATTTCTGGAAGAGTCGACCATTAAAAGAAGAGATGATCTACTACGCTGCATCTGATGCATTGTGTTTGGTTCCCAGCGTCTACCTGAAAATCAACGGGTATGTTAACATAAAAATTACTCGCTCACTTGGCAAACAACTTACTATAAAAATTAATGGTTTCTTTCAATATTTCGTCTTGTTTTTCAATAATTCTTTTCCGTTGTCTGTCTTTAACTGATTTATGTTTTTCTGCTGGCTCTCTTTTCTAAACTGAGAAAATATTCCTTCTTTCTCCCTCTTTAAATTCTACTTTATATATATATTTCTAGCTCTTCTTTTATGACTCTTCATTCGCTTTCATTATCATCATTTCCACTTTGGTTATCAATTTGTTTTTGTAGCACATTAAGCTTCATTTTTTAAAACCCTTTTCTATTTTTTGGATCTGCAACGACACGTTATGTGTATAATATATGTGTAAATCCACGTATCTTTATTTCAAAAGTTCCCATATCTGTAGGGGGCTCATACTTTGAGAATTGATTGAACTAATAACATCACAAATATTGTTATAACAGTCATCAGACAGAACACGACTGTTCAACGTCCAGTAACCTGAACCCTTTTGAACAGACTTTGTTTTGATTTTTAGAGAATATTTCGTTGTGATCAGCTCTTACAACTCTCCCTAAATAACTGTTATCGACCAGCCAATATTCTAATCTTGAATCAAGTTTGAGATATTTATTTCTCCAGGTAAACTGAATAGTATTAACAATCATTTTCCTCCAGATATCACACAATTCGTATTTCTTTTAACAATCATTCGTATTTCTTTTAACAATCTACTAAAATGTAGCGGTTTCTTGTAATAGGAACGGTTTGTTCCCTAAACGTTTAGAGTGTCTTTCTTGACGTCCAGTGCACAGTTCCAGTCTCCTGTCATTACTAAGTTAGATTTTTCATTTTTTACACAAGAATTTAATACGAATGTATTCAGATTTTTTTGAAAAAACGTTCTATTTGCTTTCTCTCAGTTGGTGCATATATATGTACCATTGTCAATGAAATAGTTCCCATTTTAACTTTCAATAAAACCTTTCTTCCATCATCACTCGGCTCTATATTAGTTACATCTATGTTTAGGCCTAGGCGTTCTTAAAATAACAATATTATGATGTCTTCAGTGCAACAACTGTCGCTGAAGGAGAATTTGTTCTTAGTGGATAGATTTATGATGTAGAAACACTAGTGGATTTTTATCCTAGGAGCATTTTAACATGTTCCTTTAGTATTTCTCACTTTTCCTTCCTTATCCATCCTTATTTCTCTTGCGCTTTAATAGAAACATTGTATTAAGCGCATTATAAATGTAATGTATTATTATTATTATTATTTTCGTAAGGTTGCTATGCGAGAGCTATTAGTTATCAGACACCCATTAAAATAATAAATTTGTATTTTTGTAATAATAAATATTAAAAAATCCAGATAAGCCATATTTCAATTTCAGAGGTGGCCACTAAGAAATATGTTACTGTAATTGCATTTTACTGTCGGCTTTACAGAATGCTGACACCGCGTTGGCGAGACCTGTTCACGTGGTCTTGCAATAATGCCATGGAAAACATGCAGAGACGCGGTTACCAAGGCAACTGACAGATGACATCAGAAATCAGACCAAGCTCTTTCAAAAGCCAACCACCGTGGAGCTCCTTTTCTTAAAAACCGGAGAATTAATATCGAAGACGACGACAGCGACAATATTTTCTTCTAAATATCATCACGCTCAAAAACGTGTTATTTTATACATTAATTTTACTATCATTATCATTTATAAAGGGCCTCTTTACAGAGCTGTAAACACTTTTCGTCGCATGATTAGCTTGTTTTGATAGCAGATTGAACTCATTACCAATATTGAGGAAATGGGTATAGCATCATCATCACTGCAGTGTCATGAAGATCTTAATTGTGATGATGGAGATTTATAGCATGTAAATGGTACCCTATTTTTCTTTTAAGAATATCAATTGTTCACAACCCACACTTTAAACCGGCATTCTCATCTGCTGAAATAACTGATTTTTGAGGAATTAATTTATTAAGAATTCAATGTAAATCGAATGGTAAGTCCATATTTATATAATATTTAATTTGATTTTTTTTTTGGGGGGGGGGGGGGGAGTCTAGGAATACGATTAATTTTCGAAATTGTAATCATTATTGGCAAATTTGTGCATTTAATTGTAATGATCTATTTTGAATATGTTTTCAATAATTCCATGCATCAAATATATGACAAAGGCCTAGTGACCTACACAATTCCTAATTTTTGTGCAATATATTGTTTTTATTTCCATAACAATATTAAATACACAAATATGGAGAGTAGTAGTAGTTCAACTCTCCTTCCATGCCTTCAATGCCTACAGTGTAAGAAGATAATATTAGCTTATTATATCACTTTACTCTTTAATGGTTGTAATCTCAATCAAAGGGATAATCAGGACAGCCCATGCATTAGTATAGCATCAAGTTATTTTATTCAGTTTATGCACATGAAGAAACAGGAACAAACTCTCAAAAAGTAATCATCACGCGAGTGGACTGTGATTTCAAATTAGAAACTGGATGGCTGCAAAATAAATACAATTTATTGGTATTTCCGCTGTCTCAACGATATATAAATCATCAGGATAAGAATTACGTGATGGTTTTTAGATTAAAAACTATACATGTATTTAATGTTATAAGGCAAAAAAATACAAATAATATTAATATACCAGAGGCCAGAACAACCAAACGAAATTATGTAGACAGTTCTTTATGGAATGATCTCCCACTGTCGTCGAAGTCATGCACATCTTGCTTCAAGAAAGCACCTAAAAGTAACTTTTAAATTAGTAAAATATAATAAACTGCGACGTTTTTTTATATTTGACTTTCTCAATGCATTTTTTACAATTGTATTATAGTTTGCTATTAGCTTTACTACATGTAACATTCCAAATGTGTACCTAAACAGTATTGTTTTTGTTTTTTCTGGTTCCTTCCATACTTTTATGTTATGGTATAGAATTGTTTATACCTATTGTTATGTGTTTATTATTGGAAAATAAATTTCATGTTCATGTTCATTTTTGAATTATGAGCAACGTATACATGAAAATAGGCTTTTGTGGTAGTCGCCGTGATAATTTTTAGCTGATTTTCCTGAACATAAGAACACGTGTTTAGTTTGGTAAATACTTATTAGTCAAGCAATGAATTATTATACTGAATACTGTATATTACTGGGACTATTTTAAGAGAGTAAAATATAATAAACTACTACGTCTTTGATTTTTCCCTTTTTCAATACATTTTTACAATTGTAATATAGTTTCGTTTGTTATTAGCTTTACTACATGTAACACTTCAAAAAATACATCTGTATAATTGTAACCAGATATTGTTTAGTCTCAATGATAATTGTATGTAATACTGTACATGTAGAATTTGATACAGTGAGAGAAACTCTCCTTATCACGTATATTTCTGTAGGGGTAGAGTAAAATGTTATTATAAAGGCACCATTAAATTTTAATGTTCCCTTTAAATTTTCAATACTATTATGAAATCTCAGATATTTAGCTTAGAAGTGCAATATAATTATTAGAAGAATGTTTTGTAGTTATACATGTCTATTTTAATAAGCTGGCCTGCCAGCATGCTACAGCAGTTTTAACTCATATTTTGTTAATACATATCTTCCATAGATTTCACCTGAACTTAATAATTTACTATTCACTTGGTCAATAGATTATTGAATGGCCTTTATCACCTTATGTTTCTACATGTATATTCCCTATTCAGTGATTTTAACCTCGACTGAGTTAGTTCTTTCAACTTTCATGCAATTTTCCTTTAATTACACGTATATATGCATTTACTTTATCTGTGCAATATTATCACTGTTGTAATGTCACATTTTGCATGGTTTTTAATATATGTATGACGTGTTATACATGTAAAGGTCTATATATTTTTTTAGGGTTGAGTCACACTCCGGATACAAAATTTCCACTCATATCATATTGTGCCAATTTTTTCTGCTGATGTGGTCATGAGCCTCCGGCGTGTGATGCAACCCTGGGGGAAATATGAAGGCTTTGTCTTGATGCATTTTGATTATTTAAATGTGGAACATGTACAATCTCTTATATTGTCCTTGTCTCATAAATCTGCAACACTGGATGCATCTGGTTGGGATATGGTGCCAGGTAAAAATGTCAGAGGAAAAAATGTCAGAGGTAAAAATGTCAGAGGAAAAAATGTCAGAGGTAAAAATGTCAGAGGAAAAAATGTCAGAGGTAAAAATGTCAGAGGTAAAAATGTCAGAGGTAAAAATGTCAGAGGTACAAATGTCAGAGGAAAAATGTCAGAGGTAAAAATGTCAGAGGAAAAAATGTCAGAGGTAAAAATGTCAGAGGTAAAAATGTCAGTCGTAAAAATGTCAGAGGTACAAGCAAAAAAAATGAGTGCCGTCATAATATCTCAGCACTTTTATCACACAGAATGTCGAGACGTACTGCTACTGCATGGGCTAGTCTATTATATTCCTTTCTTCCATAATGTAAATTTTATAAATGGCTGTGTGTTGTATTTCGTACATGTCCTGACGGTAATACAATGTGGAAAATAGATTTTGAAATTTATTTTGCTGTGATCATGCTTGCATATATATGTATGAATGTCTAACATTTGTTGATATTTTGAATTGGTTGATGTGTTAATGTTTGTGAAACGGACCGGTTTGGCCGGTGGCAGCCTGCAACCTAGCCCGTGTAACGTTCCAGAGACGAACAAAGTCCAAACGAAGAAATGAAAGTTCTCGACAAAAGTCAAGTGTTAAAGTGAGTAGTGCATTTAGTACAAATAGTTACATATAATCACGAGGAATCACGAAAAGTTACATATAAGGGCTGGGCGCCCCGAACTCTGCTAAAGCTTTAGCACCTCATGGCGGCAAAGGAAGTGGAGTAAGAATAAGAAAATCAAGAAGTCGCTCCGAAAAGTAAAAACTCGCTCCGAAAACTAAACACCCGCTCCAAAAAGTAAAAGACCGTCTCGATTCAGAAGCTCATCCCCATTTTAAACTCTCCGACGATTATAAATAACGATGTAATTTAAACCAAACCTCTGCAAAGCGCGCGCTTCTCTGGAATGTGATGGTGCGGTTGGCATTTAAAGATAAAGTTGAGTTCTGTTCTTGCGATTGCATTGTGAAAGAAACGGTGTGGAAGCAATCAGAAAAGGTTGATCATCTAGCATAACCATGTAAGTATTGGTGTGTAGTGCAAGGTTTTGGAGTCATCAAAATGATAAAATCTTTGGCCCAGTCTTGGTAAAGTAACAAGCACTGTACACAGAAAGATATTGATATGGGACTACACAAACATATGGCATACAAATCGGGCCTCATTTTAAAGCTGTTAGGCTACTTGTCAAATCTGGGATATGAAGTCATTTGAAATAGATTTTCAGGGAATAACTTTTTTCTTTGATGTTCTTCCACACTTGCATAATAAGAATGATAACAAACGCTCACACATTATTGTTCACCTTTCCCCAGAACTGAACCTTCTCTTTAATTGATGTAACATGGGCGGCTCTCTGCTTTGTATCGGAGTAACAAAGCTGCTTATTGATTTTTTTCCCAGACTATTTTATACCGCAATAGGAATCGACAATATTTTATTGCAACGTGCGCACTTAGGGAATGTGATGGTGCGGTTAGATGGTGCGGTTAGCACTGATAACATGGCTTTCTGCTTTGTTTCAGAGTATCAAAATACCAAGCCCACAAGAAAGTGGAATTGTCGGAAATATGCATTTATTGGAAATTACATATAATAGTAGTCATTGCCACGCAGTTAAAATGTCCAACAATCTTCAAAAGTGAAGGAGAAGTGGGGGGGGGGGGGAAGGTTCATAGATATCTGATCCTATTTTGTGGGCTGTACTGACTTTTCTTTTTATTTAATGATTACACCATGGAGCGACAACTCAGCCTATAAAACATGGCCAAACTTCTCGATTTTAGAAATCTTTTCCCCCAGAAGTTTGCTCAGTGTACCAGTACCATTTGCTTATACAAAAGCATAATATACCGGTATATAAATATTGAATAAGGCAGACTAATGGGACATGCATGGTTGCTACTCCGAGTTTCACGCCTTGCAAGCGATCATCAGACAACTGATAGCATTCGTCAAAGTACATGATTCCTCTACAACCTTGGTACAAATACGCTCAAAATAAGACTTAACTAATACAATACAATACAATAAGACTAATACAATACCTGAATACAATACAATAAGACTAATACAATACCTGAATACAATACAATAAGAATACTCATGAGTAATTCCAATTGTATTTTATTAGTTAAGTCTTATTTTAGGGGTATTTGTACCAAGGTTGTAGGATAATCATGTACTTTTAAGAATGCTATCAGTTGCCTGATGACTGCTTGCAAGGCGCGAAACTCGGAGTAGAAACCATGTCCCATTAGTCTGCCTTCTCTGCCTAGGCATTGACCACTGTTCGGAAGGATATATAGCAAAGCATATAAGAGGAAGGGAGAGAGCAGCCGGGTCACCGTGCCCCAGAAGAAGAATCCCCCCCCCCCGTCTTCCTTCGGCAATAATCGGGCAAAAAGTCACAATTTGGGGCCGAAAGGTAAATAAATTTAAACTGGGAAAGTGGAAAATAAAGCAGCGGTGAAATAACGACTGCAGAATATCCCTCGTTGTTCTTTTCGATAAGCCTAATATATAACCCGGGTGTAACCATAACAAACTTGGCACATGCTTTTGTTTTTCTTTTATACCTCTAACATTTATACCTCTGACATTTTTACCTCTGACATTTTTACCTCTGACATTTTTACCTCTGACATTTTTACCTCTGACATTTTTACCTCTGACATTTTTACCTCTGACATTTTTTCCTCTGACATTTTTACCTCTGACATTTTTACACCGAGCCGGGATATAGGTGAGGGCGGTCTGAGGCCTAAAGTTATTTGGTTAACTTTGCCCAAGGCCTGGCAGCACAGCCGGGTGCTCCCAGTGTTCATGTATTTTTGTGTGATTTGCTATTAATTAATTATTTTCAACTCCGTAT